TAGCCACAAAGAGGAATGACATACTGATAAATGCTGTAACATGGATGAACCTTGAAAATATTAAGCTAAGCATGAGAAGCCAGGCACAAAAGGCTACGTACTGTATGATTCCACCTATACAAGATGTCCAAAATAGGCAAATCCATAGAGGCAGAAATTAGAAGTAGACTAGTCGTCGTTGAAGGCTGGGGAAGATTGGGATGAAATGACTAGTGACCAATTGGGTCAACATTTCTTTGAGGGATGAAAGTTTCCTAGAGTTGATTGTGTTCCTGGTTCTGTGATTATACTAAAAACGATTCACATGGGTAAATTAATATGTGAATTATTATTCTTATATGTGTGCAATTTCTTTGAGAGAACAGTTTTAAAGAGAGTAGTGTGCCGGTAAATGCTTAACCATTGGTTCTCCAAGTGTAATTCTGACATCTAAGTGGTCTTGACCCTTTAATTTGCATTGGCAAATAAGAGTGAGACACTGGAGATATATGTCGGAACTGTATTTGTTTATCATTGATGTAAGCAACTTCTCTACTGAATCAAATTATGGTTTTTGAATATGAGAGGAATATTTTTATGTTTGTGCTTTTACCAATATAACAGCCGTAGGCCTGACACTGTTAAGTTTAATCTACATTAATAACATTTTCTCCATGTTGCCTCAAGTATAGACAGACAACAAAAACAATAAATCATAACCTGAATTGTAGAATGTGGCAACTGCTGGGGTATATACTCCCACCATGGCTCATGATTGCAAGCTACCAACATAAGATCACTAAATGTGCAGTTGGGGACAGATGTGCGGTGGCAAACTATTATATAATATTTATCCCATACAGATACTGTCGATGAAGAATCTAGCCAAGTAATTTGGAATTTTTGAGCTTTAAATGTCTAATACCTTTGTTTTTAATACAGTATATTTAATTGTAAGCTTCTATAATTTGACTTTTTAATAATGACTGTGTTTAACAACCTGCTTACAAGAATTTCTGAAAATTGTACTCATTGACTCCTACTGGTATGAACCGGCTCCAGCCCACAAGTGAAATAACATCTGAATGAGGAGGTTCTGCATTTGCAATGTTGAAGACTGGTTTATAAGATAGACTTGGCCTTTTGAGATAGGCTGTAGACATGTGACCTTTAATAAATGAAGCTTTGAAAACAAGGAACCAAGGGGAAATGCAAGTACAAGAGATATTAAGCAGGTTATTCATTTGAAATTATGTATTGAGTTCCTAACACATTCAAGACACTGTAATGGGTCCTAGTGATGTACAAAGGTAAATACACATACAATTTCTGCCTCTGGGTTAGACATGCAAACAAACCAAGTATTGTAAGGAATATGTTATGATAAAGTACAGACGTATGTCCCAAGGGCTATGGGAGAAGAAAAGACAGAAAGACTATTTCTAGAAAAGCCAAGTCATTCTTTCGGAAGAAGTGGAAATGAAAAAAATTTAAAGCAAAGAATATAACATTAAAAAGCATGAGAATGTGAAATGAATCACGGATGGACGGCTTCTAAAATTCACATGCTAAAAACCTGTTATGTAACTGACATGTCCTGCTTCATCGGCCCAAGGTGTAAACACAGTCGTATTGTTTTGAATTTCTTAATTCCTATTTCCTAACTAAATCTCCTTCCCTAAATCTCCTAATTTCTATTTTCCTATCTGCCCTTCTTAATTTCTTTCTGCCCTTTTGGGTAGAAGTGCATCATCTCTCCCTAGATCCCACCCTGACCCATGAATTTCCATCAACTCTTGGTTCTTATTCAACATAACAGGGAGGGACAGTAGTCCTTTAATCATGCTTTCACACACAGGTAATACATACTTGGGATCCAAAGTCACAGTTCTCTGGCACTCATGTGATTAGTTGTCATTTCTCAAAAGAAAAGTACTTACTGGGTGGACACAGCTTTCCTCCCCAACCCGTAGGCAATTGGGTAGTCTCAGGTGTGAGCCAGACTCTATCTGGCACTTCCTTCCAGACTGACTTCCCAGGGGCACTCTTGCTCTAGCATAGCTATGCATGAGAAGGGGTATGGTGCCTTTTGTTCAGCCACACAAGTAGGTATAATTAAGAGAAACCACTCAAAAATCTCTTCACAGAACAGAGCTCTGCTCAGGTTGACTCTATCCCAATTGCATTCAGAAGCAGCTGGCAACTTCCCAATCTCTCTCTCTCATATGAGTGAAATCATATGGTAGTTGTCTTTTTCTGACTGACTTCTTTCATTAGCATAATACTCTCTAGCTCCATCCATGTCATTGTAAATGGCAAGAGTTCATTCTTTGTATGGCTGAGTAATATTCCAGTGTGTGTGTATATGTACATATATACCACACACACATATCAGGGTGCATGTATCCCTTCGAATTAATATTTTTTTATTCATTGGGGAAATATCTAGTAGTACAATTGCTGATAGTTCCATTTTAACTTTTTGAAGAACCTCCATATTGTTTTCCAGAGTGCCTGCACCAGTTTGCATTCCCACCAATAGTGCAACAGAGTTCCTCTTTTTCCACATCCTTGCCAACACCTGTTGTTTCTTGTGTTGTTAATTTTAGCCATTCTGACAGGTGTGAGGTGATATCTCATTGTAGTTTTGATTTGTATTCCCTGATGATGAGTGATGTTGAGCATCCTTTCATCTGTCTGTTGGCCATCTGTCTGTCTTCTTTGGAAAAATGTCTATCCATGTCTTCTGTCCATTCTTTAATTGGATTATTTGTTTTGGGGGGTGTTGAGTTTTATAAGTTCTTTATATATTTTTGATACTAACCCTTTATCAAATATGTCATTTGCAAGTAGGTATACTCAAGCAATCACTCATAAGCACAGTTTCCAGCTATGTTCACTATTAACTCATAACTCTGAGGTTTCCAGTCTTCAGGATCCTCCTTCCTTGCACTTTAAAGGCATTTAGTTGTCAGGATCCTTTAGAATCTTCTCAAAAATTTATGAAGACGAGAAAGTTTGCTTGCTTCAGATGCCAACAAATGTGTTGCTGGGGCCTAGTTTTCAGCCCTTCTTGTAATACCTAAGGGGAAGGAAAAATTCTTCCTTGACCATTCAAGCTCTTCCAGCTGGACTAAGAATTGATGTGAGACAGATTTACAGGAGAAAAAAAGTCAAAGTTTTATTATGTGCACACAAAGGCCCAATAATGAAATTGATTCCTAAAGAAATGACTAAGGCAGGCAGTTGTTTTTTTGGTTTTGGTTTTGGTTTGTTTGGGTTTTTTTTTACTTTTCAGACAAAGAGGCAATAAATCTCTGAGGAATTGACAGGACCAAAAAAACTTTGGGAGTTTCCATTAGTAAGGAATTCCAAACAGAATTTGGACTGCAGTTGTTGTACATTGGTAAAAACAACAAGGATTGTTTTCTCAGCCTTCTCAGCTCTAAATTCCCTTTGTCTGGTGATAAGGATGTCTTTTTTCCTTTTGGTACAGGGAGAATACCTTTCACAGGGGATATTTATTTCCTGCTTTCAGGGAGACAGAAGACTGTCTGGATGTGTTTCTTGTACAGTCTGTCTCTTAAGTAACTTTTATTTAAAATAACCAGTATGCCGGGGCGCCTGGGTGGCTCAGTTGGTTGAGCTTCCAACTTCAGCTCAGGTCATGATCTCATGGCTCGTGGGTTCAAGCCCCACATAGGGCTCTGTGCTGACAGCTTGGAGCCTGGAGCCTGCTTCAGAGTATGTGTCTGCCTCTCTCTCTGTCCCTTCCCTGCTTGCTCTCTCTCTCTTGCTCACTTGCTCTCAAAAATAAACATTAAAAAAATAATAAAATAATTCTGTGCTGAGAGCTCTCTGCTTCCAATTCTGTGTCTCCCTCTCTCTGCCCCTTCCCTGCTTGCTCTCTCTCTCTCTCTCTCTCTCTCAAAAATAATAAACATTAAGAAAAAAGAAAATTAAAAAAATACTAAAATAAAATTATAATAAAATAAAATAAAATAAAATAATCATTATGCCAAAGTAGCCCATCTTGTGGTAGTCTGCCCTTGGCACTCTATATACCCTAAGAGTTCCCTTGCCCCAATTCAAGTTGGAATAAGCCCTTACAGATACCTATCTTGTCGTGCATTTTCTGGTTCCACTTAGAGGCAACAGGATCTTCTAACTCATGTGTACTGGAATATTTCGTTTCTCTAATGCTGGCTAAGGCCTTAAATCCAAGTATTTGCAAAATGGCATAACCTGTCTGGAAATACACCTTCCTTTTGCAGGCATTATATTCACTTCCACCTTTTAGTCAGAGACCTCCACTTACCTTATTAAGTAGTCAACCAATCTGCACTGATCATTACAATGGTGTCTCCTGAGTAGCATGTTGAACGAAACTAATCTCTGCAGTTGCATCATTGATTTTACATCTAATAAAAATCCCAAGTATTTATTCTCATGAGTTGTTCATTTGTTTTTTAATGTGCTTTTCTACCTGAGCATGTGTCGGTTTCCTTAATTAAAACATTATTCCATATATAGTGATAATGTTTTAATAACATTTTTAGGGGATTCTGGATTTGCAGTTCCTTTTCTTTCCCATCCAAAGATTTTGTTTCCTTTCTATTTCCCACCCCCTTCCACCTGCCCTGTGAAATCTTGTAATTACTAATATTATGTACCCTCTGATACCATGCTTTGAGAAGGGCACATCACCTCTCTGGTATCATTCTCAACAATTCATAACCTAAATCTAATCGTATAAAAAACATGGGGCAAGCCTAACTGGGAGAACCTTCTATAAAATCGCCAACCAGTCTTCTTCAAAATCTTATAACTCCCGTTTCGTTGAACAAGCTGTCAAAAGCACATATTCTATAAATTTGACAAAGATTAAAAATACCTGAGAAAACATTTTAAGTTAATGTTTCATTAAATCAATGAAGTGATTAAAATTTTACCTGCCAGTTTGCCTGAAATAAGAGTGTACAAATAGTTTTATAACACATTTCCATCTCTTCTCTCTGCAGGCGACTCAGCTAATCTAACCTGCAGAGCTTTCTTTGGGTACAGTGGAGATGTCAGTCCTTTAATTTACTGGATGAAAGGAGAGAAGTTTATTGAAGATCTGGATGAAAATCGAGTTTGGGAAAGTGACATTAGGTAAAATATTTTTTTCTTTGAACTTGTACAGTCAAGTTAACATTAGCTCTGTTAGTGAATAGAAAGTGAGCTAAAGGAAAATAAATGGGTTTTTGCTATGTGGGGGTGGGGGTTACTATTATAAGAAAAATATCTCAACATTTAATGGCAATGACACTATTACGAGACTGACTATGGAACTGCAGAACACGGATGCCATTTGCAGAGAATTTAAAGGAAATTAAAAAAAAGAGTTTTTCACTAAAGAATATACTGAGTATGAGACAGACCAAAATACCATCAAATGTGGAATATGATATTGATGTGATATGATATTGATATGATATTATGCCTTTTGTTTGTAAGAGCTCTTTTTTTATTTTTTATTTTTTTTAATTTTTTTTTTCAACGTTTATTTATTTTTGGGACAGAGAGAGACAGAGCATGAACGGGGAAGGGGCAGAGAGAGGGAGACACAGAATCGGAAACAGGCTCCAGGCTCTGAGCCATCAGCCCAGAGCCCGACGCGGGGCTCGAACTCACGGACCGCGAGATCGTGACCTGGCTGAAGTCGGACGCTTAACCGACTGCGCCACCCAGGCGCCCCAAGAGCTCTTTTTTTAATTGTCACGAGGAAGTTTTGACTCAACCAAACACAATCTTTGTCATTTCCTTTTATATGTTTTTTACATATCTTAGCCATTAAGCAGGCTCTACAACACTTGATAGGGATGATAAAGGATACACAAAATATTTTCATTGTCTTTTTTAGTCCGACTTTAAGGTCTAAATATTACTCTAGTGGGAATGATAAAGAATAACCATTAAAAAATACCATCTATTTTGAGGGCAGAATGCTTAAGCCTCTTTTTTAAAAGTATTTATTTGTTCATTTACTTCCAAGTAAGTATTCAATTATGACTAAAATTATGCTTGGACATAGAGACTCATTTTTAATCATGGTGTAAGTAAGCAGGCACATAAATAGTAATTAAGTTACAAGTGAGTCAAAATGCTGATCATGTGTAAACACTCTCCCATCTAAAGGTTGCGTCTTCTGGGTATAAGTGGGCATGTAAACCAAGTTTCCTCTTCTTAAATGCAAAGGCTTTCAAAACTTGATCAAAGGTATAAGTGAAAAAGTTTTTCAGTAGAAAACAAAAACGTATAAAACTGTCATATAGGGTTATTTCTATTGGGATCTTCTTCCCGGCAACAAATACACAAGAATATTGTACTCCAGTTGGGTTCTGAGATGCCCAGATGGGCAATTCTCCAATATGTACTAAACTGTTCCTCTGCCATTTTTCATATTTACAACTTCACTATTATCTTTTACCCACATATTTTGAAATGTTAAAGTTAAGGAAGGACAATAAACCTCCTAACTTTTCCCCTGTCTCTTTTTATGGGTGCTCAAGAAAGATTCCAGAAAGGTATTTTTCTTTAAATCAACATTAGGAAGTAATGTACAGACATGAGTCACCAAACAGATCAGAGGACATTGGAAGCAGGGAAAGGGAGCCTTGCTTTGAAGTTTTCTATTTGCTCTGAAAGATTATGAAAATCTTTGACAAATGAGGTTAGTGCTTGCCGTTAATTTTAGCGTCAGAATTAAACACTTCATCAGAATACTTAGCCTATAGGTTTATACTTTCACATTTCTTTTAAAATCGTCAATTGACTTGTATGTATCATTTTTTAAAAAATGCCAGGCTGGAGCTTTCGAACGAAATGTCAAAATAGCTCAGAAATGTTCTCTTCTTCCTTTAAAGAAGAAAAAACTAACCTGACCTATAATTAGTCCTCCAGCATGAGACATTAGAATTGCTTCTCTCACCTTTAGCATATCATATTTCTTAGAGGGAGAGCAATGTGTAAACTTTTCTTCAAGGTCCTTCTCACCTCTTTATCATGACAGTGTGATTGTCCTGCTATGAGAGATAATTAACTGCAACTTCATTAGCATGTCCAAAAACAAGCTTCCTCATTAGAAGTGAAGAGGAAAAGGGCATGATATAATTTAATTAAGATAGCGTCAATCCCTAGCCAGATTTGAAGCATAGATGCTGTAGGTATTTTCCCAGCACATTCAGAGTCATCTAAATTTTTTTTCTTTTTCACGTCTTGTGTATGTTTGTGTGGGGTTTTTTGTTTCGTTTTGCTTTATATTTTAGAATTCTCAAAGAGCATCTCGGGGAACAGGAAGTTTCCATCTCATTAATCGTGGACTCTGTAGAAGAAGGTGACTTGGGAAATTACTCCTGTTACGTTGAAAACGGAAACGGACGTCGGCATGCCAGTGTTCTCCTTCACAAACGGGGTGAGTGTCACCTTCTAAGCTTGAGTAGTCCTGAAACTAGAAAAGAGAGGGAAAGAATTGGAACCAAAATGAAAAAAGGTGTGATTTTTCTACCTCAGTTTGTCCTAAATAAAACAATCACAATAGCATTAGGGCCATCATGGCAGATAACACAGTGGGAGGGTGACTAGCTCAGGATCTAGAGTCAAACATCGATTCTTTGCTGGGCTTTACCACCAAATCTAGAAACTTGCGGGTGATATCTCACTTCCCTAAGCCTCAGTTTCCTGATCCTCGCCAGCCCATGGTCAACAAGGGTAGCAACTCTTCAATGTGTTTTAAGGATGAAAAAAGACAAGAAACGTGAAGAGCTTGGCACAAAACCTGTACACGAGAGAAGTGAAGTTAAATGCTGCTTATTATTGTTACAAGGAGGCAAACCAATAAAAAAATAACGGGCATAATTTTAAGTCACATTATGTTCTCTGAAGGTTCCTTCTTTGGTGTAAGAATCACGACATTGTTTTCTGCATTGGAGAGCTTTCACATGTGTAATATCTTCTCAGGGTTAATAGGAATTCCTTAATTACTCATTAATGAATTATTCAATTATTACTATTAATAATTTAAGTAAAACAGGTTGTGATCAAGTATGATATCTGCTGCACTAAATGTGATTCCGCAACAACCCTTAGTCACAGGGTTAAAACATGCATAAATATAGATTGAATTGTTTCCAATTAGAGCCTGTTGAAAAACAAAATTCAGCTGAGTAAATGTGAAGATCTAATTGGCTTTATTAAATGACCCATGAATGAGGCAGAGCTGAGGAGCTGCACAAAATGGAAGGCTTTTATAAGAAGGAGGGTGGGGCAAGAAATTATTAACAAAAGAAAGAAAAGTATTGTTTCAAGCCAGGATGGCTTCCCTAGGTAGGTGGGAGACTGGGAAAGGCCGGGCTTTTTATCATGCAGATGACCTCCCCTGTGCTAATCAAGTCATTTCAAATTGGCTTTTAAAAGGTAACATTCCTGGGGCGCTGGATGGTTCTGTGGGTTAGGCATTGACTTCAGCTCAGGGCATGATCTCAAGGTCATGATCTCATGGTTCATGAATTCAAGTCCCGCATCGGGCTCTCTGCTGGCAGCACAGATCCTCTGTCTCCCTCTTACTCGCCCCTCCCCTGCTCACAATCTCTCTCTCTCAAAAAGGAATAAACATTAAAAAAATAAACAAAAAAAATAAATGAATCAAAGGTCACATTTCTGAGATAGGTCCCAACCATAATTAAGTCTTGCTTTGCTGTTGGGCAGGGAGGCAGATAACTCCACTGGGGGCTTGTTGTTTTTGTTTTTTTTCTTTTTTAACAAGACCGTTGTAAACTTAGAACCATGCCTTCACTGCAGAAATTTTTCATGTATATTACAAGAGAAATACGGGTTTTTTTGTACCTTATGCTAAGGGAAAACTTTCCAGTTTGGGGAGTGAGTACACTTGATGTTTTCTTACTCAGCAAATTCATAATGATTTTAATTTCAAAGCACATGTTTAATCCTAGACTCTTTGAGGTTGAAAAAGAAAGAGAACCTTGAAGACTGTTCCCCCCACTTCATCGGGCAATAGATTCCCTTTGAATAATGTTACTGAAAGATATTAAAACAGACACTTCTGTTGTCAGGTTACTGCAATATTAAAATAGTCTACCTTTGGAGGATGTGAGTGGAGGGGAAAGGTAAGGAGCAGGTAGCAATGATTGTTCCTTTCTTTCTATAGCTTCACATGAAGGAATTGAGAATAGGAATGTTATGCCTATAAAAGGACAGAAATAGCTTCCCAGGGTTGGAAGCAACTTAAATGTTGTGTAACTGAACCACTCCGTAATATTTTCCTAAGGGATCCGTCAGCTTATACTGGATCACATTCCCTCTGAAGGAAGCCAGGTTCTATCTCTCGAAAAACCTGTTAGAAAGCATCCCTGTTTCACTGTCTGCCCCTTGACCCGAGTTCTACACTTTTAATCTCTCTCCTCCCAAACAGCCCTTCAAAAGTTTGTTTACTATCACCATGATCCTCCTGAGCCTGTACTTCCCTGGATTCAACTTGTTTAGTTTTTTTTTTTTAATTTCTTTTTCCTTTCTGTGGATACAATACTTTGACCATCCTGTTCACTCCCTTGAATATGCTCTAATTAGAGTCTGAATTATTTCTCAAGAAGGGAGAAGATATAGGGCACCTAGAAAAATCTGTTGACTTAGGGCACCTGGGTGGCTCAGTTGGTTAAGCATCCAACTATATTTTTTAAAAATTTTTTAATGTTTTTTTCTTTTTACTTATCTTTGGGATAAAGAGAGAAAAAAAACACACACGAGCTGGGGAGGGGCCCAGAAAGAGGGAGACACAGACTCTGAAGCAGGCTTCAGGCTGTCAGCACAGAGCCCAATGCAGGGCTTGAACTCGCAAATGTGAGATCATGACCTGAGCCAAAGTTGGACACTTAACTGACTGAGCCACCAGGAGCCCCAAGCACCCAACTCTTTGGTTTCGGCTTGGGGTTCCCTCTCTCCTTGTCTCTCTGTCCCTCCCTAACTTGTGCTCTCTCTCTCTCTTAAAATAAATAAATAAACTTAAAAAAAATCTGTTGGCTTGGACAACACATATTTCTTTTAGGACAAGGTAGGAGTAACAGTTAAGTATTGATCATCAGAGAGCAAGAGATAGTTAGCAGAGATAACCCCTTCAAGGGTCCTGCTAGCTGAATTAAGAATCAAATTGACTTGAGACAGATTAACAGGAGAAAATCAAATTTAATAGTGTATATATGGGGGTCGACACAGACATGGAAGTTCTGAAGATGAGAAAAATGAGGTATATATGTCATCCTGAACTAAGGAGAAGAGGGTAGGGGTCAGGGACTTTGGAGGAAAGGAATGCATTTCACAGGATGGTAAGAAGAACAACAGATGTTTGGTAATTAGGTGTTTGCCCTACCATACAGATGGATCACTCAGGGAAATTTTATCTCTGCTAGGGACGCCTGGGTGGCTCAGTGGGTTAAGCATTCAATTCTTGATTTCAGCTATTCGGAGTCTTGATTTCAGGTTAGGTCATAATCTCACGGCTCATGAGCTTGAGCCTCCTGTCAGGCTCTGCACTGACAGTGTGGTGCCTGCTTAGGATTCTCTCTCTCTCCCTCTGTCTCTGCCTTTCCCTGCTCATGTACTCTCTGTCACAATAAATAAATTTAAAAAAAATCTCTGCTAATAACCCTTATTCAGGGAAGGACCACTAATTTCCAGTCTTGTCTGTAGTTAAGGGAAGGACAAAAGTTTTTCTTGAGCCCGTAGGGTTTCAGTTACCTTCAGCTCAGAATAATCTTCATGCCAAAGTGGCCCATCTTGGGGTGGCCTGCCCTTGGCCCCTACAGGATCATAAGGAGAAAAGAAGGAAAATGAATTGTATCTGAGGAGGCACACAGCCAGGAAGGGTCAAATACCCCCGGGCTATTTTTAGCATTTGTGGCCTAAGGTTAAGTTGCCCATAGCTACAAAAGCTTCCAGAACTACAAAAATAAATGATTGAAGAATCAAGGAAATTGTTTGAAAAACTTCCCCGATACTGTCTGGTTCCCTAGACACGGAGAAGAAAATTGTGGCCAATGTTGGAGCGGTCGTTCATACTTAAATGCACAACAGTTTTCAAATATGTATATATACTGCAAGCATTTTGGTTTTAGTAAAACAGAAGCATTAAGAAGCGAAAAAGGGGTTTGTTTTTCAAGGTCATGTACTCCAAAAGTCCCTTTTAAAGTTAGCTTGTGCCTTCCTTTTAAGGGAGCAGCAGCAATTGAGTCATCAGTTCATAAAGGCAGCAAGGCATGCAGTTTCCTGCCCTTGAGAGGCTTATGATCATGGGGAATGTTCTATCCCACTCATCTTTGTGAAAAAGAAAGGACTTTGGTTAACATGTGGCACGACTGCAAGTTCCCTGCCTGGCAAGGTTCAGAAGGTCAAGGCACAGCACATGCAGGTCTATAGTTTTGGTCTTGGACCACGGCGTCCCTGAAGGAGTCAGATTATTGTCATGCTAGCAATTAGGGAATTCTCAGATGAGTTGTTGTATTACTCAGAAGACTAAAAGCTCAGAGAAGGAACTGGAAGCTGTCACTATTAATCATATTTTTCTGCCATTTACTCATAAATCCCTTAACTTATCTTATTGGCCTTCCAAGCCTTTCATTTTAAAACCCCCCTAAAGACATGTGTTAAACCATTTGATGAATACAGAGCTTGCAAACCACCATTATCAGGTTTTTTGACAGGTACCCTTGTCAGGCCACACCTCCGTGCAAGTAACTGAAGCATTTTTTCTGCCACCATTACCTTTTGTTCAGTATTGTTGACATAATAAAAATGATGTCAGAGCCCGCCAATGGGTGGTGTGTATTAGGATAGAAAACCTTTCCTGTCTTCCATTCTAGGTTCTTTGGCTCATCTAATAATTAAATTGACATAAGACAGATTAACAGGAGAAAAACCAATTTAATTCCGTACATATGGGAGCCCCAGAGATAAGAGATTCAGGGACAATCTCATGGCTTATCTGCCATCCTGAGCTAAGGAATGGGGCAGCGGTCTGGGGCTTCAGAGGGGAGGAGGGTAATTCATAGGACAATAAGCTGATGTTTGACTATACCTCTACTGTATAGTCAGGTCTTTCAGGCACAAAGTTATCTCAGGTACTAGATTTCTTTCTGAGCCAGGCCCCTTATCTAATTTCATTTAGGTAGTTAAGGGAGAGGTAAACAGTTTTCTTGAGACTGCTGTGTCTTGATTGCATTTAGTTCAAAATCACCCTCATGCCAAAGCAGCATGTTTTGGGATGGCAAAACCTGTCCCCCTTCTCATGGATTCTTGGAGATATCACTCACATGTATCAAATGAGTCTTTCTTTTGTGTGTGTGTTTTTATTTATTTTTGAGAGAGAGAGAGTGAGAGAGAGAGAGCCAGGGTGGGGCAGAGAGA